GCCTGGCATCTCGTTGCCCCCATAATGCTAGAAAGTAGATTTTCTTCTTCCCTTTTTCACAGATGAGGAACTGAGATTCAGGATGTAAGTGATTTACTCATAGTCACACAGCCAGGGGACGGCTGAGCCAGGATTCAAGCGTCTGTCTGATTCCAGATTCCACACACCTTCCCACTGCCCTGTGACTGTGGGGCACCGCAGAGAGAGAACTACACGGGGGAGGTGACCCAGCCTCAGGGGGCTCCAGGTGTGCCCCTCCCCCAGAGTGGTACCCACAGAGGGAGTTCCATGGTATCCACTGACAGGAGGGTAAACTGTATTTCTGAGGAGGGAGAAAGGAGCTACTGTAGAATTTAATAGCTAAACAGCCCCTCTTTCCCCACCCCCACCCCTGTGTGCTCTACATTTGGAATCCCACCAGTCCCTTGAGGCCCTACACACAGATATTACATGCATAGCCTGCCACACTGGGAATCTGCCTAGTTTACTGGGAAGAGACTGTCACCTCACTACACCCTCAGCTTCCCCAAAACCTACCACAGAGTTCAGTGAAGGCCGGCCCCTGAATAGCTAATAAACTCAATCGATGCTGAGTCAGACTGTGCATTTTCATGTATGTAAATTAGGCCTTAATAAACCCAAATTGAGACTTAAAAAATAATAATAATAGGGGCTTCCCTGGTGGCGCAGTGGTTGAGAGTCTGCCTGCCGATGCAGGGGACGCGGGTTCGTGCCCTGGTCTGGGAAGATCCCACATGCCACGGAGCGGCTGGGCCTGTGAGCCATGGCCGCTGAGCCTGCGCGTCCGGAGCCTGTGCTCCGCAACGGGAGAGACCACAACAGTGACAGGCCCGCGTACCGCAAAAAAAAATAATAATAATAGTAAGTATTTCTGGGGCTGAGCACCCCTCAACCGATTTGACTGATGCATTAATATCACAATAATTAAGGCTCCAAAGTACCAAAGGCTTCCTCTTTAGAGGCTTTCATGAACTTTCCTCTCCCCACTTTCCTACCTTCCCAGTACCACCTTGTAACCAAGGCAAAAACTCAAACACTTTCTTAGAGAGAAGAGAAACCCATACCCGATGCAACACAAGGTTTTAAAGCAGAAGGATTTAGGCTTGACATGAGGAAGAACTTCCTGATGGGGAAAGTGGTTACCCACTGGAACGAGCTGGTGAAGAATTAAAGGGGGTCACTGGACTCCCCACCTCTGCTTGGCACTCCACAAGTCCCCAGCTTGGTGCACTCAGTCCAGGCATGGAAACCGCAGGTGACTCAGGGAATCTTAAGTGGCGGTTGCTAGGTTACAAGCTTCCTCAACGTGCATTCAGTGTAAAGACTAAAGGATGTCACCTGGCTGGGAGGAAGAGCTATGGGGGAAGGAGTGGGGGAAATGGAGAAAAGCCAGGACTTCCAAAACAAGGAATTAGGATATGGCCTGGAAGCATCCTGTTCTTAGTACTTTTCCAAGGGTCTGAGTCCCATAGTCCTCACAGAGGGTGTTGCTTGCAGGACATGAACATTAGGTTAGAATGGGGCCTATTCTGGGCCTGGATTCTAGTCCTTTCCCAGCTATGCTGCCTGGCACAGACAGTATGGCAACGGGGAGAGGATAGTCACTGAAGCCTTTGAGGTCTGGGCCCCTTCCTTCACTGTAATTGGACAGAAAGCCACAAATTAAATCATTTGTGATTTAATTATGATAAAGCGAAAGAGCACTGGATTTGGAATTCACAAACTAGACCCACCCTGAACGGCTCACACGGTCATAAGTCAGTTACTTCATGTCACTAAGTCTCAGAGTCCTCATCTGTAAAAAAGCGTGCTAATACCTGCCTGACAAGCTTTCCTAGGGTTTTTAAGGTTACGAGAAAGCGGATGTGCGAGGGCTTAGTTTAGCTCGAGTTATGCAAACATAAAGTAGTATGAACTTTATATACCTGCTCACTGAGCTGTCCCAGCTGGGGTGGGTGGAGGCACAAGAAGCCTTGCCTCACTGCTTTGGGAGAAGGCTCCATGGGCAAGAGAGGCTGAAGGTGGGCCCTCAACAAGCCCCTCTGAGGAATGCGTATGGCTTTCAATCCTCCTGATCACCCTGCCGTGATTTTGTGAAGACAGTTTAAATGGATGGTTGAGGGTTTGTTCCCTATTCCTCTGGGCAGACTGTGATCTCCAGGAAGAAGAGAAATGTTTGATGTTTCCTGTGAAACTTCATTAATTCACACCACATTTTTTGGAATTTGTGTTCTTATTGAATAAATAGAACACAAATTTCAGGGAGGGGGAAATTTCCCCCCTTACTCGTAACTCTTGAGTTCTTTTGGCTGGTCTAATAGTTAAATTGACAAGATTATCAGGAGGGGAAAACAAACCAATTTAATTCACATGCACAGAGGCCCCATAGAAATGGGACCCCCGCAGTGCCATAGCAGGCTGTTTATGTGTCATTTTTATTTATTTTTTATTTTTTTCCGGTACGCGGGCCTCTCACTGTTGCGGCCTCTCCTGTTGCGGAGCACAGGCTCCGGATGCGCAGGCTCAGCGGCCATGGCTCACGGGCCCAGATGCTCCGCGGCATGTGGGATCTTCCCGGACCGGGGCACGATCCCGTGTCCCCTGCATCGGCAGGTGGACTCTCAACCACTGCGCCATCAGGGAAGCCCTATATGTCATTTTTAGACAAACAATTATTTGTGAAGACTTACCAAAGGGGCTTGCGCTTCAGGTACAGACTAATGAAGTAACAAAATCTGTTTATACAGTTTTCTTAGCCTTGAATTCCCTAACTCTGGTGATAAGTAAGGATGCTTTCTCTCTCCTGATATGGGGAGGATACTTTCACATGGGAGATTTATTTCCCACTTTCGGGGGAAAGAAGGGGTACAGAGTGTTTTTTTAATATCAAATGTTTCTTCCCAACGGCTGTTTCTCAAGTAACTTTAACTTAAAATAATCAATATGCCATTGTGGTATACCTTGGGGTGGCCTGCTCTGAGCCCCAACACAACTGTCCTCCGTGAAGGTTCTTAGAGGTACTTACTGTGTAAGTACAGAGAATTCAAACTAAAAAGCAGTGGAATTTCTAAGCCAAGAACTCAAGATGTTAAGGTGGGCCTATGAGCTGTTAAGAGGTACTGTGACCTCTGTTTCTCACAGGAAGTCATTTCTAAGTGAGGCGCAAAATGTTTGTGCTTGTTCTCAGTTTTTCTTTTTCTTGGTTTTGTTGATAGTAGTTGTAGTAGCAATGGTCTTCATAGTGATTTACCAGCCCCTTGCTGTGTGTCAGAAGCTGAACTGAACACTTTACAAATATCATCTCATTTTTTAAAAAAATAAATTTATTTATTTTTGGCTGCGTTGGGTCTTCGTTGCTGCACGAGGGCTTTCTCTCGTTGCGGCGAGCAGGGGCTACTCTTCGTTGTGGTGCTCGGGCCTCTCACTGCGGTGGCTTCCCTTGTTGCAGAGCACGGGCTCTAGGCATGCGGGCTTCAGTAGTTGTGGCTCGTGGGCTCTAGAGCTCAGGCTCAGTAGTTGTGGCGCACAAGCTTAGTTGCTCCGCGGCATGTGGGATCTTCCCGGACCAGGGCTCGAACCGGTGTCACCTGCATTGGCAGGCAGATTCTTAACTACTGCACCACCAGGGAAGTCCCAAAAATATCATCTCATTTAATCTTCACAAAAATCTACAAGGATATATCTATACCATGGAATGCTACTCAGAAATAAAAAGGAATGAACTAGTGATACATGCAACAACTTGGATGAATCTCCACAGGATCATGCTGGGAGCAAAGAAAGCCAATACCCAAAGGTTACATACTGTAAGTTTCTATTTATATAACATTCTTGAAATGACAAAATTATGGAAATGGAGAACAGATTGGTGGTTGCCAGGAGTTGGAGAGAGAGGGGTGAGAGGGAAGAAGGTATGGGTATAAAAAGGCAATATGTACACCTGAAACTAACACAGTGTTGTAAATCAACTATACTTCAATTTAAAAAAAAGGCAACATGAAGGGTTCTTGTGGTGAGGGAAATATTCTAAATCTTGACTGATCAATTTCCATATCCTGGCTATGATATTATTGTACTACATGTTTTGCAAGACGTTACCATTGAGAGAAATTGGGTAAAAGGTGTTATTTCTTACAACTGCATGTGAATCCACAATTTATCTCAAAATACAAAGTTTAATCTAAATAAAATAAAGAAACTGAGCCTCGGAGTAGTTAAATAATTTCAGAGCCAGAATTCAAACCCAGCTCTGTCAGACTCCCAAGCCTGAGTGTTTCAACACTTGGCTCTATTCAAGGGAACCATGTGGGAGGACCCCACAAGCCTGCAGTTCATCACACCAGGTGGCTCACTGGTGTCATGGGCACTTTTGTTACTGGGGACTACTGTCCTGATAAGGCCATTACAGAATGGCTTGAAAGAATTATCTGGCAAGACCTGTGGGTTGGTGCTGAGGGCCAAGATTTGATAACCAGGTTTTCCCTTCCTAAGGTGTGATGTGGGAGGGATCACTCACGTGTTTGCCTTTCCACTTTTGTCTGTGGCTGTGTGTCCGCATAACTGTGCATTTTCTGTCAGTTTCTCCGTAGATATGAGCATTTCCCGGTGGAGGGTGAGGTGATGTGTAAATTACGCACATGTGCGCAGGTCGGTGTGTACATTGGATGCACCCGTGTCAGGTCTGCGTGTGTCACACCCACATAACTTGTTTCTATTAGGTTAAACCATTTGATAATATCTCCCCCAAAGCAAAGTCGACTATTGAGCCAGGCTTTCACGAACTGGGTCTGTGTACTGTAGATAAACTGGGTAATTGGACTCTCTGCCTCCTCATCCAAAACAAACACTCACAAACCGCCCACCCCCACACTGGAGGGAGTCTAGTCCCCGTCATCTGGGTACTTGGCTCTAGTGCCCCGCTTTCCCTGAACAGTGGGCAAGGTGAGCGTCTCCCGCCGGGCCCTTTCCCTCCCCCGCAGGCCGGGCGCAGCCAGGGCTTCTGTAAAGAGGTCAGGGCTCGCTTCGCCGCGGGGCGCACGCAGGTTCCTGCACAGGTGTGGCGGCTGATGGTGGGGATGTGCGTGGAGCCGGCTCGCCGGCCTCCCCCCAACCCCACCCTCCGGCGGCGGCTCCGCTTCTCCTTCCTGCTGCTCATTTATTCTCCTCTTCTGGGTGTGTGACAGCGGTGTGCGGACCGAGAAAGGACAGAGCGCCCTCTCCCCTGCTCCCCGCGCCGCTCTCGGGTAATGCGCTGCCTGCGCCTCGCCGCCGCACTGTGTAAGTGGCGCGGGGGCAGGGACGGGAGTTGGCGGGGAGGGAGAGCCGGGGGAGGCAGGCGGCGGCGCCGAAAGGTGTTAACTCCTTGCTTCGCCGGGAGGCAGCCTGGCACCCTGAACCCCGGAACGCCCCCGGCCCCCCACGCGTTCCGCGGGTTTCCGACCAGCTGGCTGGGAGCGGCGGGGGACAAAGCGGTGCGGGTTTGATGCCTCCGCGGGGTGGCGCCCTCGCCGCCGCGTCTTCCCTTGAAAGTTGGCGGGGGGCTGGGAGCCCGCTCGCCCGCCCACGCCAGGAGGCCAGGGCGCCGGGCCCGGCTGCCCTTGATTCGCCCCATTCCTCCCGCAGGGCCGGGCTCGGACGCCTCCGGACAGCTGAGTCTCGAGGGACGGTGAAGCGCTGGCCGGCGTCGGGGCCCTTGCTGGGGGTCGGGCGGGAGCAGGCGAACCGGAGCGAGATGGAGGCGGCGAGAGGGGGCGCGGAGTAGCCGGCGGACCCCCGGGCTCGCACCTCCCACGGCGCTCCGCGGGGGCGCGGCGGGCGGGGTCCCCGGGGCTGCCATGGAGGTGCCCAACGTCAAGGACTTCCAGTGGAAGCGCCTGGCGCCACTGCCCAGCCGCCGGGTCTACTGCTCCCTGCTGGAAACCGGGGGGCAGGTCTATGCCATCGGGGGATGTGACGACAACGGCGTCCCCGTGGACTGCTTTGAGGTCTACTCCCCCGAGGCCGACCAGTGGACCGACCTGCGCCCCCTGCCCACAGCCCGGGCCGGGGTGGCTGTCACCGCCCTGGGGAAGCGGATCATGGTGATCGGGGGTGTGGGCACCAGTCAGCTGCCTCTGAAGGTCGTGGAGATGTACAACATCGATGAAGGCAAATGGAAGAAGAGGAGCATGCTGCGCGAGGCCGCCATGGGCATTTCTGTCACGGCCAAAGGCGAGTGGGGCCAAGGCTGAGGGCGGGCAGAGAGAAGGGAGTGGGGCGCCACGAGGAAAGGGATGGAAGCCAATCCTGAGTTGGAGGCCACTGTCACATTCCTGATCCCCAGTTGATCTTTACAATGGACACTGAAACTAGAGACCCGCTGGCCTTATTTTACAGATGGGAAAATTGAGACTCAGCAAGTGAAGTGTCTACTAAATCAGTATGATGCCAGAGCTCCACTCCACCCCACCAGGTTCCTCCCAGCAAACTGGGCAGGCCGGGCCAGAGGGGAGAGCCAAAGGGGCTAGTGCAATGTCCCTGGGCATCCCTTCATTCAGCAGGGTGATTGGGCCTTCCACCCACAGCACCAAATCCCCTGAAATCTTCCTTGCAAGTGCCACGACCTCCAGACACATATTTGGGGCCCTGGGGATGTTCATGCCATCCTCGTACCATCACTAGGAGGGCTTTGGGACCTGATTCCAGGACCTTCTCACCACCATCTGCTTCCTAATCTCAGAGACACTGATGAGTGGACACCATAATGTTCCTGAGGGTCGTGCTTCTGGGGCATCTGGCCCAGGTTCACTAGATTCTCAGGGCATGCATGTGCTGATCACGTAGCTTTGATTCTCATTTCGCTTTTTCCAAGCCCATCATTTCTTTCTTTTCAGGCCTGGTACAGCCCAGAGCACAGAGGGGGCTCTGAAAGCTCTTTCGCTAAAACACACAGGGTTTTATGGAAAATGGCCCAGCAGGAGTTAGGAGACCCCAAGTTCAGATCATACAGGCTTAGTGGGATGCAACCTTCTCTCCTTCTCTTGCAAAACCATTTCAGCTGCCTGTCAGGTCTACTGTAGATCAGAAACCAGTGTTTCTTGAGTACCTGCTCTGTCCCTGGCACAGTTCTAGGTCCCAGGGAGGAGGGAAAGAGGCAGAAGATCTGATCCCTGCCTTTAGGAGCCCAGGTCTTACCAATGAAGGTCAGAGAGAGAAACTCTAACTCAAAATCCCTGAGGGCAGAGTAGCCAATGGGGCCTCCTGAACTCTCAGTAAGAAAGATGGAAGGTGTGGAGGCCCATGGGGAAATAGAGATGGAAAGGGTCGTCCTTTATCCGCAGATCTCAATAAGTGGGGCTGAAAGATTAAGAACCAACATTTATTGAGTCCTTACCATAGGTGCCTTATAGGTATGAACCCCTTTGACCCTCACAACCTGTCTGATGAGTTAAGTGCTATTACTATCTTCATTTTAGAGAGAAGCAATGTGAGGCCCAGAGAGGTTAAGTAACTTGCCCAAGGTTACGCAGCCAGCAGGTGATGGTCGAGTCTGTGCTCTTAACTATGGCATTGAATGGGTTCAACAGTTAGTTTACTAAGAATTTACACGCCTGTGTGCCACGCTTTCTAGCAGATGCTGGGGCCACAGATGAACAAATCTCAAGAACCTAACAATCTATTGAAAGAAGCATACAAAGGTTATTTCAGTAACGTGTGGCAAGTAGGGTGATGCAGGTGCCACAGGAGGTCCTGAGCCGCCGCTCTCAGCCCAGCCTTGCAATCCAGGGACACCCAGGTGACTCTGAAAGGATAAGTAAGAATTGGGTGCAGGAATGGTAGTGTGGACTGGATGTGAGGGTTCTCAGCTGGAGGTGTGTGGGTGAAAACAGGAATAGAAGAGGTAGAGTTTGTGTAAGGTAAATTTCTCACTAGCAGGCCCCATCTCCCAGCCACAGGCTAGGGTTGGGATTTGTTTTCCCTCTTTTTAGTAAAATTGAAAAGTAGAAAGAAGTAGTACTCATCCCTGCAATCCCCTTGAAGAATGAAAGTCTCATAGAGCCAGAAGCAGTGAGGACTGGCTACTAGGAGACAGAATCCCGGGCAGGGGTGAGTCCCTGGGAAAAAGAGGGCCCTGGGGGTAGGGCTGTGTCCTTAACAGTCTGCGTGAGGTACTGGGGTAAGGCCCAGGGAGACATGGAGGCGTTGCCCATCCTCTCTGCTGCACTGTGTCACCTGCAGCCAAGAGCAGTAGAGAGTGGGGGGGAACTCACTTCTCTGGGCAGGGCTTCTTATAGGGGCCAGTCTTCTCTCCTCCAAAGCCTCTCCCTCATTCACCCCTAGCCCATTCAGTGCAGGGTGCCTCCTGGAGCCCAGAGCTTTCCTGTGCATGAAGGAGGATAGCCTTCCCCTATCCGGACAAGAAAGAGATGGCAGCAGGCCAGTGTCCCACAAGGCCAATGACAGCAGGGCTGACCTCATTTCCAAAGGCTCCTGCTAGGTCTAGAGAGTTCTGATCTGGGAGTTCCTGAGGAAGAGGCCACTATTGGAGGGTATCAGAGGAATACCCCTTCTCTTTGGCATCCCTCTGGCTGCCCAGGAAGGAGGAGAATGGAGGGGATAAGACCTGCAAAGGGTTATCCAGGCCTAGACTCCACTGCAGTGTACCTCTGTGAAAGTCTTAGTACTTCGGGTTTAACCGAGGGCCAGCCACCAAGGGAGGCTAAGGCATGTAGGCCTGACACGGCTTCAAGAAGACCCAGGCTCGACTGTGGCAGGAACTTTTAATGGTGCCACCAGCCCATTCTCGGGCAGAGCGGTGGTTGGGACCTAGCCGGGCTTCAGTGCTTGTATTGCAGGGGTTAACAGAGCCTGGCCATGGTAGGAGCTGAGTACGATGGGCCTGTCTCATAGTGTCTGCTGTATGGCCTTTCTCCCTAGATTACCGAGTGTATGCGGCAGGCGGGATGGGCCTGGACCTCCGTCCACACAACCACCTCCAACACTATGACATGCTCAAGGACGTGTGGGTGTCTCTAGCACCCATGCCCACCCCGAGATATGCTGCCACCTCATTCTTCCGAGGTTCCAAGATCTATGTGCTGGGTAAGGACCCATGGTTGTTGGCCCATGTCTGGCCCTTCTTCCCTCCCCCGGGTCAGTTCCTATTGGAAGCAGTGCCTGTGTGCTGAGCATCTCCGGGGCACTGGGGGTTAATCACGCTGCCCCACCCCTCAGGGAGCTTCCTATATGATCTGATAACAGTCAGAAGGGGAAACCCAGCCCCAGTCCTCAGAGACTTACTCTTCTGCCCAACCCTCGCCCTACTCTGGCCTCCAGGGGGACGACAGTCCAAGTACGCGGTCAACGCCTTCGAGGTCTTTGACATCGAGACTCGCTCCTGGACCAAGTTCCCCAACATTCCCTGCAAGCGGGCCTTCTCCAGCTTTGTGACCCTAGACGACCGCTTATACAGCCTGGGTGGCCTGCGGCAGGGTCGGCTCTACCAGCAGCCCAAGTTCCTCCGGACGATGGACGTGTTCGACATGGAACAGGGTAAGCTGGGCGCCAGTCCCCAGCTGCGCACCTCCCTTCTGGCTGAATCCCCCACCATCCACCCAGGCTCACTTACCCAGCTGGGTGAGCCTTTCAGAGTCTGAACACCCTTCTCCATTCAGGGCTACTCTTGGGATCAGGTTCTTTCATCTGTACAGGGTTCCCTTTGATTGGTTAGTTGTTTTTATCAAAGCCTTTTCCACCTATTGTCCATTCTTACAACGTCCAGCCAGGGCCAGGTGAGGAAGGGCTTTTTCCTGTTTTTTACTCATGGAAAAACAGAAGGATCCTGACTCTGACGCTCTCTGCCTCTAGTCAGCCTCCTTTCCAGCTTAAAGCCCGTGAGAACAGAGGTAGGACAAGGTGATTTGTCACAAGAGATTATGGTTCCTTGGATTACAGCAAGCATGGGAGAGGGTAGAGTATCATTTCAAACAGCAGGAGACATTGTATATGTGCTGAGCACACAGGGTAGATGGAGTGGAGATGCTACCTAGGGGGAGAGCAGTTTGGGACTCATGTGTATTTGGAGGGGCGGGTGGTCAGCATCTAATTCTCTCTGTGTATCTCCTGCCATCACCCATGGCCTGTAGGGGGATGGCTGAAGATGGAGCGCTCATTCTTCCTTAAGAAGCGGCGGGCAGACTTTGTGGCCGGCTCTCTGAGTGGACGGGTCATAGTGGCTGGAGGACTTGGTAAGGATAGAGCTTCCGGGCTGGCACTGTGGTCTGGTGCTTGGTGGATTCTAGGCAATCTGCATGAGCAGGAGAGGGTGCTGGCTCCTTCCACACCACCTGCCTACTGCTTTAGTCCAAAGAATTTCAAAGCACTCCCCTCCTCCCAGCCTAGATGTCGTGTCTCCATGGATGGGCCTCAGTTGCGGTCTATCTGTCCTCTTACACAGGAGAAACTGAGGCCCAGAGAGCATAAGGGACATACTGATAACCATGTGACACAGGCTTGCCAAGCACAGGTCCCTGGGCCCCCGTCCAGGAATGACTGGAGGTGAAAGTGTGGCAGGGATTGGCCTTGGTCCTCTTTCTCTTCTCCCTGGATACCCAGCTCTGTCATGGAGCAGAAAAGCAGTCTGATCAAATCAGTTATTCTAATGAATTCAGGATTTGCTGTATAAGACCTCCCAGAGATTAGGGTATGTTGAAGGCGGGACCCCAACATCAACAGGGGAGAGACAGATGGGCAGCAGAGCTTCCAGGAACCCAGAGTTTACTCAGTGTGGACAGACACCCTGTTTACCCACACAGGAAAGCAGCTTGATGTAAGCTAGACCATGTGAGCAGCTTTCTCAGTAAAGGGCAGAAGAGAGGCAGTAGTGTCTAGAAACTTCTGGTAAGAGCAGCGGTGGGGAAAGAAAGTTACTCTTGAGATGAAAAGACAGAGAAGGCAGGAAGGACAAAGCAGCTGTTTGACAAAAGGGTGGGGAAGGAGCAATTCTGTAGCCAAGGAAGTTGAGGTTGATTGGCTTCTGCTTGTGGTTCCAGAGGGGGGCGGGGAGCAAGATGGGGGGACTTTCCCGGGGCAGATTGGTGACTGGACTCCTTTGTAAGGTCCGGTTCCCTTGGCATTTTCAGGGAACCAACCCACTGTCCTGGAGACGGCAGAGGCGTTCCACCCGGGGAAGAACAAGTGGGAGGTCCTCCCCGCCATGCCCACACCCCGCTGTGCCTGCTCCAGCATCGTTGTCAAGAACTGCCTCCTGGCCGTGGGGGGCGTCAACCAGGGTCTGAGCGATGCGGTGGAAGCCCTGTGTGTCTCTGACTCCTAGCTGGCTCTGGGCCCAGCCACCGTGTCCTGGACCGGATCACCCCACTCTGGACAAGAGGAATGATCTCATCAAAGTAGTTTGGGCTGCTTCCCCGGACGCCAGCTCCTGTCAGCAGCCAGTGGGGTTAGGCCATAGGGCTCTAGGTGACCTCTCCACCTCCAAACCCTACCAATCCGAGAAAACTGTAAGAAGTCTCGATGACTCTGCCATCCCCCTTCCCCTGTTGGGGCTCAGGTGACTTCTGGGGAGAGTTCTCACTTACTGCTCAGGCAGAGCAAGGTAGGTAGCAGGAGTATATGCTACCTCCCTTCCTGTGGGTTTACCTCTCCCATCTCCAGGATAGGGGGTACGCAGGGCAGTTCTGACCCAGAGGATAGCTACTTGTAGCTGTCCTTTCCCTGGATCTGCGCTAGTCTGAAGGTCTCTTGGGATGGAAGATGGAGAAGGGTTGCGGGGTCCCAACCCCTCTTCTCTCCATTGGTCTACATCCCTTCCCCCTTTGGTGGCTAACTGTGGGCCTGCCCTGGACCTCATCTACTCAGCAAGAATTGGCCCTGAAGCTGGAGGCGGCTGATTCGGAAGGGGAGTCGGGTTCACGTGCACTGGTCCAGGTCAGAAGCCCTGGCCAGGAAGGACCCATGCCTCTCGGGGTCCTGATGGGAATGTAATGATGGGAATGGAGCAGACTCCCAGCCCAGGGTCTGCTGCCCACTCTTCTCCTCACTTCATTTCTGCTTCGGTCACCCCTCCCCACCAGAGGCACCCCTCCCCTTTGTCACCGACAGCCCCAGAGTGTTTCTGTGTGAAACCTTCTTATTTACACTGTGGCATCAAACTCCACAAAGGGTGGATTACTTGCACTCTGGTTAACAGCAGCAGCACAATGATTAAAATCTATACTCCTATCTTCTCTGGCACCCTGATGCAGGGGCGGGGCGGACGGTGTCTTGATATGCGGAGGGGACCGCATGGAACAGTCCCTCTGACATTCTCAGGCTAAACGGGGCCCCGAGGGACCACTTGTTCTTGGCTGTTCCTTCTGAGGAGGTTCCACCTTCAAACCACCCTGCCCTGACCAGTCACCTCACTCCTAGGAAGACAGCCCACTTTCCGTCTCCTGCGCGTTGACGCCCCACAGGCGTGTTGGGAAAAGGCTGCACTCGTTAACTGACTTCTTCGTTGGGTTACGTCTTGTGACTGGCCTCAGTTCATTCAGCTCGAACTCATTTCTGTCTTGCCCACAGTAGAAAGGGAATTGCTCACTAATGTAAAAACGTGAAGGACGTGCCTCCTTTTAGCTGGTATAGCACCGCTTTCTGATTCCAAGTTATTTTTAAAAGCTGTGCTAACACGGCGGATACAAAGATGAAAAAAATACATGCCCTGGAGGGGTGGGGGGGGGGGTCAGGGAGCACGCACCACGTGCTGGTATGATTATTTCTCCTGAAGCAGGAACACCCGTCTGAGGCGTCATGCGGAGCCTCCTGGAGGAGGTAACACCTCCACTGGACCTTCACAGACAAGTGGAACCAGGGTCTTTACGGGACAGTCATTTTGCCTCCCTTTCTCTCCTACCTGATCTTTTTCTTTACTTGGGTACTGGAAGGACACTGCCACCTGCTGACCCAGACTTTCCCTCCCACCTTGGCATCCTGTGGCCACGGGTGCCCCCTACGGAGCAGACTGCAGAGAGGCCTTCCCTACTGCTTCCAAACCCCCACCCCCAGCCCATTTCCGTTGAGCCCCCTGAAGTGACTGTTAGAAAGAGAGGCTGGGGCAGCAGGTTAGGGGAAGCATCACTAAGCCCAGCCCTCCATTCCACTTCTGTCTCTGCACTGCCTGCTCCCACGCTCCCCAACCCCTCCCCAAGAAAGGCATTTACGAATGGGCTGCCTCCACCCCTTCTAACAGGAAGCCTAGCTTTGTGTGTAGGAGGCTTTCCAAGCACACAAAATGGCACCAGACATGTGGATGGGACTGAGGCATTTTAAATAGTTGGGGTACCTTAGGGCTGTAGCCAGCCCTAAAGGTTCTTCCCATTATGAGGATGGGGGACTGACTGCTGCAACCTGTGAGGGCCACTCAGGGCTCAAGCTGGTATCTGCTGAGGACTCACCTCTTGGAGGTGCATGCTGGGAAGACTTTGGGTGTGGCTCACAGAGGAGCGAGGGAAATAGGGGGTGTCAGCGGCATACCTCATGGCTGTACCTCATGGTGCTGCAGAGGCCGCTCAGGTTCTGGGGTCCGATGGCCGGGCTCCGGGCCTCAACTCCCTCCCTGCCTGCCATAGGTCTTCTCATCCCCGTCCATCTCCGGAAGGCCCCTCCCCTCTCTTGTCTTCATTTCCCAATCTGTAAGACAAAAGCAATGACAATGCCATCTCACAAGTTGGCAAAGCACCCGCTTCAATCCTCAGATCAACTCTGTGGAGAAGGCAGTATCCTCGTATTTTGCACATGAAACAACTAAGCCTCCAAGAGGTTATATAACTTGTCCAAGGTCACAAGCTAGTAAGTGGCTGAACCAAATCTGATTCTAAAACCTGTGACCACAATACTGCATTGCCTCAAATGGAACAGCACGTAGGAAAGGGGAGAAAATCAGCTGCTCTGTACTGTGTAGGGGTTCAGAATGTCAAACCTGGAAAGATGGAGGGCTCCAAACATTCCTTTTGTTTCCCAAGGAATGAGTATGAGAATTAGCAAGGAAAGATTGGGAAGGGCTCCCTAACGTGCAATGAGCATAGAATATTCCTACATTTACATCCCAGGAAAGTTCCCTTCTGGCTCTTTGACTGTGTCAGCTATTGCAAAGCATTGTTTGACACTGAACTCCAGTTATGTGTCTGGCGTGGTGCTGAACTTGGGATTCCTGCCCTCCAGTAGCTGCAGCCTTGGGAGGGAGACGGGGACTAAATCTGCAGTTAGTATTTGATGAGACCAGTGTCAGCCTTTGCTAGTGTAACCCAGAGGTGCCCCATCCTTACTGGCTACAGAGAACTGAGAGGAACTGAGGGGATCAGAGAGGTTTCCAGAAAACAAATCTCAAACTGCACTTTGAAAGAAGAGGGAGAACAGCCAGGCAGAGGAGGATGACCCCAGGCTTTGAAGCAAGAAATGTGAGTTCAAATCATAATTGTCATGTGCGGATTGAACTTGGGTACGTTGTTAACCCCTGAATCTCAGTTTCCTTATTTGTAAAATGAACAAAATAAGACCTCACTGAGGTTAAGAACTACCTACTGTACACAAAATGATTTGCATATATAAGGTGAGTAGCTGCACTATTATTTTTTGTTGTTGAGGGAGAGACAGAGGTGTTCTCAAGTCCACTGAGGGACAACATGCACATTGCAGAGAATCTAGGGAGATGGGCTGGAAGTACAGGCAGGGCAGATCAAGAGGCCTCACGTGCCTTGCTGAGGAGTCTGGACTTTATCCGTATGGGAAACTGGGAGCAAGTTAAGGATTTTAAGTGGAGAAGCATCGTGACCAGATTTGTGCCATTGGAACATAGGATCAGCCAAGTTCCTCTTCTGAGGAAAACGAAGTAAAATCACCAAGGCACCATCTAAGATGAGAAAGAACCCCAGGGACTTCCCTGGTGGCATAGTGGTTAAGAACCCGCCTGCCAATGCAGGGGACCCGGGTCCAAGAAGATCCCACATGCAGCGGAGCAATTAAACCCGTGCGCCACAACTACTGAAGCCCGTGCGCCTAGAGCCTGCGCTCCGCAACAAGGGAAGCCACCGCAGTGAGAAGCCCATGCGCCGCAGCAAAGGGTAGCCCCCGCTCATGGCAACTAGAGAAAGCCCACGTGCAACGATGAAGACCCAACACAGCCAATAAATAAATAAGTAAACGTTTTTTTTTTTTTTAAAGAAAAAACCCCAGTTGGGTTTGGAATCCTCAGAAAAACACGTGGGCCAAGCTTGTCAGGCCTCCTCTGGAGGAAGGTCCATCTGCTGGGCAATTAAAGTGCCAGGAGGGTTTAGAACCACAGAAAGTGGACAAGTCCCTCCCTTCCATGGCTGCTTCTCCTCCAGAATTTCTAATGATCTCTTGCATTTGGGTTGAGCTTTCTGGCCCACAGATACACTGAACAGGAGGTGGGGTACCATCAGCCTTTTCCAACCCCCATCTTGTAGAAGAAGAAGCAGAACCGGGAACCCTATGACTAACCCAAGCGGCACAGCTAACAAGTGATGGAACGGAGACTCTAATCCAGCTGCCGGGGGTGGAGGGTAGTGCACACCCCCACCGCCCACCATTCTGAGCTCTGCAGTAAGAGATGGCATGCCCACCCCTAGGTGGCGGCAGAACAGGACCAAAGCCTCAGGCCAGGCTTGGTGAGATCAAAGAGTTGCGTGGGCAGGCGCTTCTTGTTGGCATTAGACAACTGCAGAAGTGAAGGCATGAGGCAGAGCACAGGCAAGAGCTGAAGAGACGGGCACATAAAAGGACCCAGACAAAAAAAAAAAAAAAAAAAAAAAAAAGGACCCAGACAGGTTGGGCAGATAAGCTTCCATTTTATTAGTTTCCTAGGGCTGCCATAACAAAATACTGCAGACTGGTGGCTTCAAAAACAACAGAAATGTATTGCCTCACAATTCTAGAGGTCTGAAATCAAGAGGGAGGGGGAACCTTCCTTGCCTCTTCCTGGCTCTGAGAACTGAGCTGATCTGGGAAGGCTTCCTGGAGGAGACTGCTGTTATAACTGGTCCTCAAGGGAAGGGAGACTTGGGTGCCAAAATGCACACAGGAGTGGGGAGTGATGTGAAAAATGATTAGAAGGCAAGTTGGAGCCTGTGCCGACCCTGAATAGTGGGTCGATGCCTTTGAGGAAGGTCAGCATCAGTGTGATATGATGGTTGTGGCCGCCTCTCCAAGCACACCCCTCTCCATTGGCAGTGCCAGGAGTGACGGGGGAGGGGGTGGGGAGTAGCGGGGAGGAGCCCATCTGTGGGAAAGGGTGGCGAGCCAGCTGGCTGCAAGTGCAATGTCTCTAGAGTACCCTGTGTTACGTTCTTGTAG